TACGAAAAGGCCATGCTGGTGCATCTTTATCTCCCTGGTATTTTTTCGAAGGTTTTACCTCATCCACGGCAAATACATAATATAACATCTTTTTGTTATAAATATATATTATGTTTTTTTTTTATTCTGACAAATAATCTGATTTTGACACGCTATTTATATCTATATTTTGTAGATAATCTTTCTTTTGTAATTTGCTTTTTATGTATGGGAATAAATCACAATACGGTATTTCAATAAGATCTATACCTCGCTCTTTGCATATATCCCGCTTTTTTTGATCACACTTTCTTTGATTATCTAGATCATCTTGATTTTTGTGATATAAACTATTGCGATGGTAGTGTTGAACACCCTGGAATTTGAATGCTAATTTTAGTTCTTCATTATACCCATCTAATTGCATCCCATTCAAAAATAACGGTTTACATGATGGAAATTTCTTACCTAATAGATTTTCAAAAATATATCCTATATTTCTCTCGGTGGTGTGATGACATAAGGGACACCATTCAAACTTCGTAGTTATTAATGGATATGAGTACTCAAATTGATGTTTACCATTCTGACATGATCAAAGGTATACATTCTGATCATTAATTTGATCAGTTTTAGCTAAAATACTTCCATTACGTTTCTTGACATATTGTTGGATCCTGTCAAATTCACTACTAGAAACACGAATGAAATGTATCAATTCAGAAGGGTGATATTTTCGTATAAAATTGTCAGGTGGATATTTGACTTCTTCAGAATTTTCTATTACTTGGAGTTCTTCTTGCTTGAATGGTCAATGTGGGTTACGTCCCATCAAATGAGCAGTAGATTCAATAGGCTCATCTTTGAGATAGTATAAGACTGGCTGTGGTGAATTTCTTCCAACAATAACCTTTTTAATTCGATAAATACGCAATGAGAAGTATGAATCAGTTTTCCTATGAACGTGTCCTCCTTCCAACTCACCTGGTTTTAATAAATATCTTACAGTCGTTCCTTTTTGTAATCGCAGTTCATCTTTCCCAATAGGTCTTTTAGGTTTGATAATTACTTTGGGAATCACTTCCCGCAATGTCATAGCATGGTCAGGGCTCATACCGATTAATCGCGTTTTATTATTATTCATATAGTTGATAATTTTCCGAAGTATCTTTTTCCATAATTTTGAGCGTTCACCTTCTTTGAGCTTTCCTTCTATAGCATATTGAATTTTATATATAAGTTTTGCCAAATCTTGTTTGAATTTTTTTACTAACGCTAAGCT